TACAAAGGACATTTAAGCAAAAAAAAGAGACATTTCAAACATCAGATAAAGTTGTCTATGGAGCAACTTGATTCAGCCCAATGTGCGGCGTATACCTTTTATGATGTGGTTTTACTGCGCCCCAATTTCCGCCCGGCAAACGCTTTGGACTAGAGGCACCATGCTTGCAAAGAATGGATATAAAACAAAATTAATTACTTACAAATACTATGTAGTTGTAAAATAATTAGTAGTTGCTACTAAAAAACTGTTCTAAAATTTTTTTTTTTTTTTTATAACATTAGGTGGCAAACGAGCAAGCGAAAACCTTAAACCGCCAATATGGCGAAGCGACCGCTGTCCATAGACATCCGCAATTGCAGATGCGTTGCCTACCCTTATACGACGGAAGAGACGCACATAAAGAGGATATTTCCCCTTCCTATGCATCTCCTCCACCGTCAAATCCACTTCCTCTTTCCAACCTCTCATTATAAGAAAAGGGTGGCAAAAAGAAAGGGACTTAAATTAGGCCTCCGGCACCACACTCATCAGACGAAACACGGAATTGCTTCCATTTCACGCCTGTCTTCTGTGTGTTAATTAAATAATTATAACTAGCTATCTAATCATGACTTTAGTATCAATAATTCCTAAATAGGCAGCTAGGACTAAATAAAACTGATCTTATAAAATTCTATATCAAGGCAATGCCTTTAACGAAATGTAAAACTTTCTTTATGTAAACGTAAATGAAACTTAAGTAATATCCTGTTTGTGGTCAAATTTGTAGCCACTCTAGCCCTAACACAATGTTAGTACTTAGTCCTTTATGGTGGTTTCACGAGCTATTTCCTCACACCAGCCACGCAGTTTTTATGCGTTTAGTTTTCATTTAAAGGCCACGATATAGATAAGGATCAAACAAAAGTGTTATTTTTCATACATATGTTTTCTTGAAAAAATGATGCTGTAACCGTATTATACATTTTAATAACTAAAATATTATAATAATACACATGGTTTACATTTCGATATAAAATTCAAAATGGCGATAGACAGAAGAGAATCATGTGATTTTTGTAAACAATAATGGGATTAGATTGGAACAAAATATTTTTATTATCTGTATATTACTGATATGTTAATATACGTCACAATTCATAGATTATTGTGAACTATTTTATGCATTTTGCGGTCGATGGCCTGAGGTCGTTGTACTGATTCTATTTTTAAATTTCATGCCACGTTAACGTATTATTGCGAAATACTATTAATAATTGGTACACATGTAACCGATAATTGACTACAACGTTGGTCAAACATTAATAAACTTAAATAAAGTCATAACTGAATATTTTTATTGTTACAGTTGCCTGCTGCATCAAAGTTTCTCGCTGGTTATGGAGCAGCCGTGGACTACCAGACAATTCTGAGAGCCTAGCTGTCCAACATGTTGGGAGAGGCTGCGTCGATTTTATGACGAAAACCCTCCCGCAAAAATATTACATATCGTATTTACATTCGTAAATAGAACGCGAAAATACGAAGAATTAATAAGGAATACCCGAAAGATACGGCCGATAACGATAACTTAATCTGTCAAGACGTCAACTGATAGTGATACTGGCCGTTGATAGT